CCCATTTGGGATTTTCTTGGCAAAGATACTGGAGTAGTTTGCCATTTACTCTCATTTTACACATGAGGAACTGAGGCAATCAGGGTTAAGTGACTTGCCCAGGGTCATACTGCAAGAAGTGTCTGAGGCTGAATTTGAACTAAGGAAAAGGAGTCTTTTTGATTCTGCTGCACCACCCAGCTGCCCTGTTACCATTATGTGAATTGTTTTGCTTCTGTTCACTTTACTCTGCATCAGTTCATAGGAATCTCCTCAGATTCCTCTGAAAGTGTTTATTTCAACATTTCTTATGGCACAGTAATATTCAATTACAGCAGGTCATTTCCTCCATTTGTAGTGATTGAATATGCAGAAGTCATTTGAGTATTCGAGATAACTAAACTCAGTCATAAGGTCATAGGACTTAGAGTTCAAAGGAACCAAATGAGGAAACAAGCCCAGGGATGTTACGACTTGCCCAGGCTAAGTTCATTCAAAGCCTGTGATGCCAGGTTACATCTGAACAACCTGATAGCTATAGAGCTGGAAGGCATATTAGAGTTCACCTAGCCCAACCCTCTTGTTTTACAGATGAAGAAACTGAGGCACGGAGAGGTTAAGTTCCTTGTCCAAAGTGACACAGGCAGTAACTAAAAGAGCTCGGATTTGAACCAGGATCTTACAATTCCCAAATCCAGGGTAAAAGGTACTACATACTTCCTAGGTGTTATCAGCACTATATTCATTGTCTAAATACTACCTAAATACTACAGTTAAACCATTCTGTTACAAATTTAGTTTGATTTCCCCTAGCCTCCAAGAATGGATTACCACCACATCAAGGGATTATCTCTAACAATACTACAAGTGACTGCAAATAGGAGTTTGGGGTGGAAACCTCTTCTCCTTTTCCAATAGAGACATGTTAACTACTGCAAATGAGATTCTATCTCCTGCTGAGAGATGGAACTCTCCTGATGGCAGTGGTTGCTATAGCTATGGCTACAGTGTCACTTGTGTTATAACTCCAGATTTGCATTTTGATCATAACTTTCTAGATAATTTACTTCCACCATTAAAACCTATTCACAGTCAGCTCAGAGGTGTAATTTTTAAAAACTAATCCTATATAGTCCGGTTGTGTGTATTTGTTAATGACTTTGCTTTCTTCTTCAAAAACTCCTCTGGAGAACAGGACCAAGCTAATTCTGACTACACCACAGAGAAGAATCCACTGCCTCAGTAATTCCATCTTACATTCGTACAGCAATTGCAGTTTCAAAATGCTTTACACATGCACAGTCCCATTTGATCCTCACAACAAGCCCAGGAGTTAAATGCCACAGGTGTTACTTATTGTCCCCATTTTCAGAGGAAGAAATTGAGGCTGGAAAAAGGATAAATGACTTGTCTAAGAGTCACCAAGGTAAAAAGCATCTGAGGCAAGTTAGAACCTGGATCTTTCCGACACCAGATTCAACACACAAGTGGATATTGTCCACAACATCACACTGCTTCTGGTCTATAGTCTGGTCTGAGCCTGGCTAAAGCTCCTCTCTAGGACTCTGTCCTTTGGCTAAACAATGCTACTTCAAACCACTCTCATTTTCTTAAGTAAGCAGTTAGCAGGCATTTTTGTAAGCATGTTTGTCTGGGGTGGGGTGCATATTGAAATTTCAAACTGTTATGTAGCTGGTTTAGAAGGGAAAGTAATTTCCAGTTTGAAGAAGAACAGAAAAAAATTCACATTCATAAGACAATCTCCTTCTCCCTCTAAGAAAAGAACTTTTAATTTTCTTTTTTTTGTGGCTCATGGACCCCTTTGGAAGTTTAGTGAAGCCTATGAATTGCTCTTTAGAATAATGACTTTTTAAAAAAATCCATAATTAATCATAATAACAATAGCTAACATTTATACAGCATCTACTATGTGCCAGAAACTGTGCTAAGTGCTTTACAAATATTATCTCATTTGATCATTAATTGAAGAAAATGCTACATTTCTTTAGTGAAAATTAAGATGTAATTTTTTTCCATATGAGTTCAAAGATCCGGACACCTCCAATCCATGCTCAAGGAAACTCCAGGTTAACAACCACTGCCCTGAGATAAGGAATTAGTTTTCTTCCCATTGGTGAAATGTTTGACCAAGTAGGGGCAGAGAACTTGGCCATGAAAAATACTGGCCTGTATGCTTTCCTTTAATTCTTCCTGTCAGACTTGGGTTCTATATTTCATGAGCAAGCAGGGAAAACACCTAAATACCCAAAGTTGGCAGTAGCCTATGAAGAATGTTTCAGTCCAATAAATGGCAGGCCCTGAAAAGGCAAAGAGGAAAATCTGGAAGGAGAAGAATCAATAATGCACGTGTCCTCTGTCCTTGCTCTCCTCATCTAGGGACTGGGGACTCAGGTCTTCCTTCTTTGGGAATCCATCTTGGAAACTGGTTTGCTTTCTTGATTGTTTGGTACAGCTCATTCAGGCTGAATTCTCAAATCACATTTTCCAAGAGACACTTTGCTTTTGTGTTTAATCTGTGGTTGTAGTATCACCTCCCTGCCACTCTAGAACAGCAACAAGGTGTATGAACTAACCGCACTTCTGATACCAATTTGTATCTCTAGATTTTTAGGTTCCTTTCATGAAATGGACAGAAGAATTGATCAAAATCTACCCATTGCAATTCCTACACTTGGCAGCGAATTCCCCTCTAGAGGTAGTATGCCATATTGGATAGAGAGCTAGCCTCAAATCAAGAAGATTTGGTTTCAAGTCCTATCGCTGACACAAACTGGCTGTGTACTCCAGATCATTTACCCAGTCAACAACAGTCTAAGCAACTTCCTTCCTTCCTTCTTTCCTTCCTTCCTTCCTTCCTTCCTTCCTTCCTTCCTTCCTTCCTTCCTTCCTTCCTTCCTTCCTTCCTTCCTTCATTCCTTTCTTCCTTCCTTCCTTCTTAATAATATTTTGGGGTTTTCCCCCAAATTACATGTAAAAACAATTTTTAACATTCTTTTTTTTTAAGTTTTGAGTTCCAAATTTTCTCTCCCCACCTCCCTGAGATGGTAAGCAATTTGATATGTTATTCATGTATAATCATGTAAAGCATTTCCATATTAGTCATTTTGTGGAAGAAAACTTGAACAAAAAAAAGAAAGAAAGTGAAAAATACTCTGCTTTGGTCTGCATTCAGACTCCATCAATCCAGGCATCTTTCAAAGACTACATAAGTTGCAAAAAAAAGGTACTCACCTGCATTGTGAGATGAAGTTTCCTCTTCTGGGAGTTCTTTATGCCAGTGAAATCATAGGACCAATCCCTACTCTCTAATCCCTCCAGATGAAAGACTATAAAATGAATCAGTACTTATATTAAGGAAAGGAAAAGAAAATCCACACACAAAACATACACATCCAAATTTTATTGAGATTTATTGCTAGATATTCTTTATATCCAACACAGGAGCAGGAAAGGCCTTACCCAAGTAAGTAAGAAGCAAAACTGGGGTTCCAGCTCACGATTCTTCATCCCTCCCATTGCATCATGCTACCTAAATTTACTTGCTAATTCATGGGTTGACTGTGGGATTTAAACCCATGTCACCAGACCCTAAACTAGCACTATGTTCATGACATCAGGCTTCCCCAAGTCTTAGCTACCCTGTTCTCTTACTGAGATTATCTTCCATCCACCCCGTACATATCTTGCATTACATAATTATTTGTATGTTGTCTCCTATTCGAATATTAACTTCAACAGGGCAGGAGAAGTGTTTTTGGTTTCCTTTGTATCCTCAAAGCTTTCTTGGCACAGCTTCTGGGCACCAAAGTGCTTAAATGCTTTTTGATCAACTGTACTTGAAGACTTCAGGTGAAGAAGAGAAGTTAGGAAGTTTTTCTTAACTTCTGACTGGCTTACTTCAGTCATTATAACAAGGTGTTGCTTTTTACCTGTCAAATTACAAGCCTTAGGCTTAACTACCTACCTCTTGTATGCCCAGGGTTGTTTAATATAAATAATAAGTATAAATTTTTAATTAATAAATTAATGATAAATATTTTGACCACCTGGCTCTCCAAAAAGCAGCACTTAAATTTAATCTGCATTATAGACATTTCTCCATCACTTTTTTTTTTGACGAGGGTCACTTGTAAGTGTTATGTGTCTGAGGTCAAATTTGGACTCAGGTCCTCCTGAATCCAGAGCTAGAGCTCTGTCCACTGCGCCACCTACCTGCCCCACTCTATCGCTTTCTTAAGTGACAATAAAACTTTTGAGTTTAATCTGCATTCTCTCCATTTTTCTCCACTACGTTCTCAAGTCTAGACAATCAATCAATCAAAAAATTATTTGACTGTTGGCTCCTTGAGGGCAGGGACTGTCATATGCCTCCTTTTGCACCCCCAGCGCTTGGCACAGTGCCTGGCAAGCAGCAGGAGCTTAAACATTTACTAACGTTTTCTCCATCACTTTAAATCTAGACAATCAACCAAATAATTATTAGATTGTAAGCTGTTTGAGGGCAGGGACTGTTTTTTGCTTCCTTTTGCATCCCCAGAACTTAGCACAGTGCCAAGCAGGCGTTTAATAAACGTTTACTGAGTGAAGGATTGAACGATAAATCAAGCCCAGATTTGCGTGGCTTTTGTTCCCTCCGAACATGTAAGCCACGAAAGGTTGGGGCAGCCTGCAGGGAGGGCTCGGACCCGGCCGCGCGGGTGGCGCCCCTGGCTTCAGTGGGACATGCCGCGCGGCGGGGGGGCGCTTGAGTCCCGCGCTCAGTGGGGTCTTGCAGGGGCTGGGCGACAGGGCTGCTCCTGCGGGCGCGGGGAGCATTGTGAAGTGGTCGGGGCGTCACAGGCGGCGCCGGCCGCCCCGGGGGTCAAATACCTGGGCAAGGCGTGAGCGAGATTCATAAAGGACCTGCTGGACGGTCCGGAGGCTCCTCAGCGCCTCCGCCAGGATCCCCAGACAAGGCCGACGGATCAGCTCTGCAGAGGGCCGGGGGCGCCGCCCGGGGGATGGAGGGTACGGGCCGCTTCTCGCCCCTGCCGATGCCCTACCTGGAGGTCTACGACCACGAGCCGCTGGGCGGGGAGCCGGCGCCGCTGCTGCTCAAGGGCGAGGCCCCCATGCCAAGCAAGGACGCTGCCTCCCGGCTGGGCGCGCAGCAGGCACACCATTCCCCGACGCCGCAGCCGCAGCGGCGCCTCTTCTGCAGTTCACCGCGGGAGAGCCGAAGTCTGACCGACGTGAGCCGGACACCCAGGGACCGCGCCCGGAGGCAGCTGCCCCGCAGCCGCCGCCCAGACGACGACCGCGAGGCCGCCGCCAGGTCCCTGCCGCTCGGAAGGGGCGGTTACAACTTGGCCTGGCAGCAGCCCCCGCAGCAGCAGAGGCAGCCCCTCTCGGGAAAGAAGGACACTCCCGCGCCCACCCCCCGCGGAGATTACACCACCCCGCGCGGGACCCTGAATCTGGAGCGGGAGCCCAGTGGAGATCAGTGGGCTACGACTGTGCACAGGGGCATGGGTCATTGGGTCCCTTCGTCCACCTCCTTAGACAAGTCAGCCTTGCCCTCGAAAGAGCTCAGGGTCCGAGCCTCCTCCCAGGAACCGCGTGCCGAGGTCAAGAGCCAGCTGGCGGAACACGGCAGCCAGTACTGCCAGACCCTGGAGGCCACCAAGGAGCCTGAGTTGGAGTCCTTCCAAAACCTGAAGGACGCGCACTCTGAGTCCATGATCCCCGCCAGGGATAAGAAGATCGTCAACCTCATGCTGGAGCGGCTGAAGAAAGCCAGGAGGATCCAGGAACTGCAACACGAGGCTTCCGAGGCCTGGGAGGAGGTGAAGCGCTGCGACCAGAGGTTCCAGGTGATGATGGAGAAGGAGCGTCAGCTGCAGCTGTCCAAGAGCAAGGAGCAGTGGGAGCGTCAGAAAGAGGAGCGGCGGGCCCGCCTCAGCAAGGAACAGCAGGAGCGGCTGGAGACTTGGGAGAAGGAGATGGCCTTGAGAGAGAGCAAATGGAAACGACAGGTCCAGGAGCAGGAGAGCCAGCGCAGGGAGAAGTTGGAGAGGGCTCGGGTGCAAGCCGAGTACCGGAAGCACTGCCAGGAGCAGATGCTGAAAGAAAAGGAGGTGCTTCAGAAGGACCTCCGGGAGCAGAACATTCAGCAACTGCAGGAGAAGATGGTGCAGGCCTGCTACAAGAGGCAGCTCAAGAACTCGGAAGGCAGGAAGAAACTTCAAGAGAGCAACCTCGATTCCTCAGCCAGTCACCAGTTTCGGAAGGTCCTGCTAGACAGTCAGAACAAGGCTGAGGAAATCCTGAAGAGACTGTCCCTGGAGCAAAGATCCCAGAGGTCTCAGGAAATCCACCAGCGCCTGATTGAGGAGAAGCACAGAGAGCTGAAAGAAAAGGCCCAGAAAGAGGAAGAGCATCTTTTGTTGGCTAAGTGGAGAGCTGAAGAGACAGATGAGCAGAAAAAATTGCATAAGAAAATGTTAGTGGAGCTGGGGGACTTGAAGATCCAGCAGGCTAGAGATAATGTGCACAAAAATATCAAAGACAAGGCAGACAGGATCAGGGAGTTTAACTTTCTTCGGGAGAAAAACCACTACTTTCTAAAGCAGAAAGCGGAGGAAGAGGCCAAGTGCCACGTTGAAGGAATCAAAGAAGCTATCAAGAGGAAAGAGCAGAAGATGAACCAGATCTCCAGACAGAAAGACGCTTCTATTGAAGAATCCCGGAAGATTGCTCAGGCCTCGTGGCAGATGAGGGAGAAAGTGAAAGCCCTTCAGATTTCCTTTGACCAGATGGCCTGGGAAGCTCAGTTTAGTGCAAATCTGCATCGGGGGAGTCACTGAACCTATGGCATGAAAGATCTCACAATCTATATGTCAAAAAAGAAGAAGAGAGATGTGGAAATGTGACACATTCATTTTATAGTCTGTTTATAACCTGGCATTGCTATAAAGTGGTTTTTAACCTCTAACTGTGATCTCCTTTCTTAAATAGAACTTGCTATGTTAATTAACTTTTTAATTACTTTGGGGGGGATTTAACACCATATATTTTATATTATTTATAAATTTTATATATTATAGTATATATTTATATTATTATATTATATAATATATTTATTATTTTATAATATATTATTAGATATAATATATCTAATAATATAATATTATATATAAATATATTATATTATATTTATTATATTACATTATATTATATTATATTATATTTTATATTATTTAGGTTTTTAAACCTTATTTTGAGTAGAAAAACTCTGGTTCTTACAACTGCATCATGCTTCCCGGTTGTCCAGGCTTTCATTCCCTGCCTCTCATATTCATTCTCTGCCTTTCTATTTACTCCTTCCTTGCTGCCAACACAGCACACCTAGTTCTTCCCATTCTGAAAAAAAAAACAAAAAACTTTCACTTGATCTTGCCACTTCTTCAAATAACATCTTCCTTTCCTCCCTTTCACAGACAAATTTGTGAAAAGAGTCTCTTGTACTCAACCGTCTCCACTTCTTTACCTTTTATTCACTTCTCAATCCCTTCCTTGCAGTCTGGCTTCTGACCTATATTCACTCTATTGAAATTGATCCCTCCAGGCTCTCAGCTGATAAATCTGATGAGAAAACAGTCCTCATTTTCATAAAGATACAGCTTTGGCTTTGACACTGTGGACCTCCTCCACCCCCAAAACCCTTTTCTCCCTTGGCTCCCATCTTTCTTCTTTCTCTTTCTTGGTTTTCTTCCTACCAATCTGACCACAGTCTCCTTTGCTGTTTCAACATCCATCTCTACTTCCTCAAGGCTCTATCCTTGGACCTTTTAATTCCATGTTCAAGCACCCTTGGTAATCTCATCAGCTGCCATGGTAACAATCTCTATGCAAATAACTCCAAAATCCATATATCCAGCTCTAATCTCTCTACTGAACTACAGTACTGCATCATTTAGAGCAGGGGTTTGTAACCTTTTGTGATGACACAATTGGCATCAGTTGGCCATCTGGTGAAACCTTTAAATCTATTCTCAGACTAATGGTTTGTTGCCTACTTTCATAATGGAAGGAAATGCTAAATTTCAGATAGAGGTTAGTGAAAATGACAATGTAATTTTTCCGCATACAAATTCAGACTCCCTGAAATCTATCCATGAACCTCCATATTAAGAGAACTTTATTTAGTAACTCTTGTACATCTCTACCCTGATTGTATCTTATACATAACATGTCTGAAATAGAATTCCTAATTTCTCCTTCACTAAACTTATCTCTTCTCCACACTTCCCTGTCTTTGTCCAGGGCACAACTCTCTCCTTCTAGTCACACAAGTTTATAATTTCAGTCATCTTTCATTTCTCTCTCTCTCTCTCTCTCTCTCTCTCTCTCTCTCTCTCTCTCTCT